AATTCGAGAAATCACGTCATTTGAAGAAAGGTCTGATTTCATTCCTAATAATTTCAAATTCGAAAAAAACTTATTAGAAAACTTGTTTCTAGGAATGCCATATCTTCCAGCTGGAAAGACTTGCTCTTCTTCAAAAAATAAACCAACTACTGTCATGTCTTCCGGATCAAATAATTCTGTTGGTTTAACCAATTTTACTCTAGCGGGCATTTCTTGCTGCTGAGACATTTTATATGTGCCAACAGGTACAAAAGAAGTTCTTCCCAGAACATCTTTTAAGTTTACATCATGATCAAGTAAGAATGGTAATCTATCAAAAAGACTATCGACTACTTTATCTATGACTGCTTGCTGTTGTGACCCGAGATATGGTATTACATATTTCTGCCAATAAACATATGAATCTAATCGCGTTATCTTAATAATATCTTCCAATATATAAGATAAATTCTGTGAACTTGTATTAAGAAATTTTCCCATGTTCCTTGGATAGATAATTTTACCACACGTATTTTCTTCATTCCGTGGAAGAAGATACCAATTTGTATTTTCAGGTAACAATGAAATTGGTGAATCATGATCAACTTCGAAAAAGATTGAAAGATACTTAATAACTTCAATATAATTCATTATTTGAACTTTATTAACAAGTCGTAAGTGATTAGATAAATGGTTAGCGAGAGTTGATGCTTCATAAGTTTGTAATGTCGTTTGACTTAAATTTCTTGGATATGAAGTATCGGCTCGGAAAGAACCCAAAACTGATATAATATCATCAGGCTTGATAATATATGAAGTTATTCTAGTAGAAAACTAGTTTAGCGTATTTAAAACATCATAGAAAAATGGTAACAAATTATACTTACTTGTTCCATCTAGAAATTCTGCCAACGTCAAATTCATGTTCCACAAAAACACCACCAAATTTTTCAAAAATATGTCTTAAATTGATTGAAATATTCTCGTTTGAAAAAATTTTTTTAGGGGTATTTAACTTTCTAAGAGTAGAACGATTTGTTGGGATTAAATGAACATCTTTAAACTTTGTCAAATCCCAATTTCTGTATTTCAGGTTATCCCATAATTTATAAATCCATTCACGATGATTTAAAATTTGTATCTCTTCAGAATCCGCATCTTCAGATTTCAATGAACATTTAATCATATCGACAATAGCGGATTCGTTCAGGATTTTAATGTTTAGATTCCATTCAGTAGTTGACACA